TCTATAGACCAGGATAGACAGTAAGGGGGAGACTTACTTCTCTTGGTGCTGACAAGGGACTTCTCCAGTGACTCGACCTTTTCCTTCAGGCTCCGAGGGAGTTTGAGATTACGGAAACCACGGGTGGCTTGCTCAGCTGCCTTCATGTTTCGGTTGAATTCATCAGCACTGATTTGTTGAATTTTGGTGTCGAGTACTGGCTCAGAGGGAACTAGTGGGGCGGATGAGATGGCTTCGTTGGCTTTGTGAGCAAACTCTTGGAAGGAAGGTGGATGGTGAATCGGAGCAGTAGTTTCAGAACCAATTTGAAAGTTCTGGGCAAGGATAGTGGTGGCTATGTTGGACAAATAGCATTAGTTTGAGTGTAAAGGATTGATGGAGAAGTCGGACATACTTGGGGGAGGAGTCCCATCACAACGGTGGGGGACTGTGTCTCCAGAATCGGTGTGGCTCTCAGATGTATCACTTCCAGAGTAGGGAAGATCCATGGGATTCAGCCTAGTGTTGAGGGGGGTTGGGAGAATAAGTGAGAGGATAAGATGGTATTTGTGGATGGATGGATTGAATAAGTTTTGGATGTGGGATGAGGGGAGGAGGGGGAAGAAGTACGAGAGGAGGCGTGTTTTTATAGGCGTGCTTACTGGTCAGGGAGGTGTAGTATCCCCACGGTGAAAATTTTTTCAGCCTAGTGCACCCACAATCTACTGTTTGGACCACAGCAAATCTGTTTATACTTCAAAGGATGATCACATCACACAGGCCATAGATAATCCTTTGTTTGAGTTTTTGGTGAGCTAAGCATGATCTTGGTTTATCGAGTGTAGATTCACAAGGTGACATGCTGATATCACCAGCATGCTATTCCACGCTAAATCCCCCACAAAGAAAAAAAAAACAGATCTGGGATCTTGCAATTGGCAGGCAGCTGTTTTTGAGAAAAGGTCTTATGTTTGGTCAAGCCAAAAGAAGAAGTAAGGCAGAACTAGGTTGGAACTCAAGGGCAACTGCTGGCCAACCCACGTTTCCCCTGCTGTTCTCCCTGACTCCAAACAAGCTTCCCAAACATTTTTGCAAAGCATCGGTTGCAGAAAATAGGAGAATAGTTACTTTATCACGTTGTGTACCATGCTCACATCAGCATCTGCCTGGTCCTTGCCAGGCTGCCTGTTCAAAAATGTGTCACACAAACGTACGCGCGTACGTTTGTGTGACACATGAGTGCAGTTGCCCTCACTGCTGGGCCTCTCCCAATTTTTGAACTGGCCGACCACAAGGTTGTGAACCACACATTTATGTTGCACAAAACACAACCTTAATGCAATGCACAACTTTCAGAGAACATATATGGTATAATTCCACCGAAGTTGAGAAACATTATTTCTCCCAAGAAAACAAGCACACAGCACACCAAACTTGATCAATCTATATTCATCGACCTCTCCCCACTTGGCCCCGCTTGGGCACTAGATCCTTGCTGAGTTGGCCCCCGGTTTGGGGCCGTTCCCTCCTGAGGAGCTAGTGTCAACAGCTTATCCATCCCCTTAGCAAGCTCCATAACTGAAAAGGGGCCGACCTCGGATACAGTATCTTGATCAAATTTACACAAACCCTCTCGCCACGATTTCGCATAGGCATCCACCGGAATATTACGTGGCACACCCTCAATCCCGCTTTTCTTGCTGAAGACGGATTTCGAACGTCCGTAGATATCTTTGTGGACTGATCGTTGCTTGTGGTGAGTAGCCTGCGACATCACCATCTTGTCAAGGCCGTGCATAACAGTAGAAAGTGGGTCGCTTCGCCATACGGGCACACATCAAACTGGGCGATCCCCCACCTTTTCCGCATCCTCGATATCAGAGTGAGAATCCTTGTTTGCAAGGATAAACGCGAGTTGATGATTGTTTGGGTACACCTTTGCCGCCATCTTGCATCTATTTTCACAAATCTTGCAGACATGGAAACACATCACGTGTCAATTGGGTTGGTATATTTTGCACCTATCTATTGAAAAGGCACTTACTTTCTTGCGCCACCGAGCATATTGGGCTTTTGCTAACTTGGCCTTCTTACTAGCATCATAGGCTCCCACCTCCACGTTGCCAAATTCTCGAATCTCTCGACATTTACCGTTGAGCCATTGGAGAATAATTGCCGGTGCCTGGATTGCCTCTTCGTCCGTTATTTTCATTGACAAACGGAGCCATTCCACTGATTTCTTTCTGTCAGCCTAGGTGATGCCAAGAGCTTGACTCTTCTAGCTACACCAGGTGCAAAGCTAAGAAAAAAGGTGTACAAGTGTGGGTAACACTTGGAATGGGAGGTGTTTGATATTAAGAAAAGAGATAATAAAAACTGTTAAGTTTTTTATAAAAGCAGGGGCCTGAGTTACAGGGGTTTTTATGGTGCCCTCCAAGGAATCAGGACCTGTTAAACAGGGGTATTTTTGATGTACCTGATGATCTGGTCCTTTTTGGAAAGGAGTATGCCCAGACAATATGCCTACAACTGAAGTATCAAGGAAATATTACCTACTTAGTACTATTTCCAAGCCAAGGGGACTTCAGGTGGGTGAAAACTGGTCTGGGAGCGCTCAGAAAACTGGGTAACAGGTGTTGGAAGAGTGCTGGGGAACAGTTGATGGTTGGGTTGGTGATATCCAAGACAGAAACAGCAGGAACTGGGCCAAAAACAGGTGAAAAACTGGTTGTTGGAGGTGGTTATTGCTGGTAAATGGTAATGAAGATGGGGAATTTGAGTTCGTGGTCAAGAAGGGCTCCTTATATACTCATTCTGGGCCCTTGGAGGCGAACTCAGAACTCTGTTTGGCTGGTGTAAGCCTCCTACTAGGCATTGGTGACCTGTAGCACTGCCTAGACACCTGTAGTCCTTGGTTACAGGTGGCAGAGGGCTGAAGTGAGGCTTGTAACACACACTAAGGAGTGCTGTGACGAACCTGCAGCCATGGTTTGGGCACTGGGACCCTTTAATGACCAGTGGGCTGGTCTTAACCAGGCGTAGTTAGCCAAATTGGGCCAAAAAGGGCCACAAATGGCTTTTGACCAGCCAGTTACAGTTGTTGTGACAATGTAGTTAAGGTTTCAATGATGTCAACCTTATTTGTAGATTTTTCCCGAACTGCATGAACCTTAATTGCATGTGTAGACCTGTCACAACATGTAGTATGATGTAACTGGGAGGGTTTCTAGCAAAATGAACAAGTGTCACTCAGAGTACACAGAAGTACCTGAAGGAGTAATAATTAAGGGGTACTTCTGGTGGGGTACCCTAGGTTATTTTGCATGAAAATTAATAATCTGAAATAATATTCTAATTTTTGCTTAAGGTTCAGAAGTTATCTGTAGATTCATGTTAAAAATGTTTATTTATAAATGTTTTTGGTTTATTTTTATTTTTTCTTTTGTGACTAGTAAAACTTAATGTAATGAGTAATAATGTCTCTATTATAGTCATTCCACTTATTTAAATATTAAGGTTTTTATATGTACATATGTAATAATGTCTCTACATTATGTACATATAAAATAGACATTAATTACATATGCTATGGGGGTAGTATATGTAATAATGTCTCTAAATATTTATGCTATGGTCAGGTTGTCTCTGAATAGTAGCAGGCTGACATTCCCTACCCCTAAGATGAGTTTTCTACTCATAGCAAATATAAGTATTAAAATAGTTTTTGACAAAGTGTGAAAAAAAAATTGGGTTTTGCAGGCATTTAGCTCCTCTTAGAGGCTCTGTAATTCCTCAAGTGAATTGCTCCATCAGGTATATTAGACTCAGGTAACCACTCATCCTTATCTGCGGATTGATTTTTATACCTGACTAAGTAAAGCCTCGTGTCTTTTCCTTGAATTCTTTCTTTCTTGTCCTTCAATATTTTAGCTACATGAAGTTTCTCATCCTTACTAGGTTCCATTATTGGGACTGGAGGACATGGCCCTGGCTCAGTGTTGTCTCTTGTGGTGTAAGGTTTTACCAGGCTTACTGGAAATACAGGGTGTTTCCTGGAGAGTTCTTCACTCAAGATGACCTCTACAGCATTTTTTCCATGCATGTCTTTAATGGTAAATGGGCCAATAAAGGATGGTTTAAGTTTCTTGTTACCCCCTAGATTATTAAAATTCACTGTAGATAGTAAAACTTTATCCCCAATTTTAAAATCTGGTTGTTTATGGCTCTTATCCCATCTGTTTTTGTTATATTCTACTGCCTCTTCAACACATTTTTTAGCGTGATTTTGAGTAACATCAAGCATCTTTTTGAAGTCTAGAGCAGTAGGGTGTATAGAGATGGCACTTGATACTTGTTTGCAAGTACTTGCTGCTTGTTGGCATGTACCTGGGACCTGTTTTTTGGTACCAGGTGCTTGAAAAAAGGTTCTAGGTAGCTGCCACAGGTCCCATGTTCATGCCAGTAGGTCATAAGTACCTGCCAATATTTTCCAGTTACATGCCAACAAGCAGCAAGTACTTGCAAACAAGTATCAAGTGCCATCTCTAAGGGTGTATATGTGGTAACTTATCATTAAGGGTATCCTTTGGCATTCTTGGGATCCATCCTCTCTCAAGGACATATGGTACTTCATTTGAGGTTGAATGCTTGCTGCTATTGTATGCAATTTCAAGAGCAGGTAATAAACTAACCCAATCATGAGTATAGCCATCATGATTCTTAAATTCTAAACCAAATGAACAGAACCTCCTGAGCATATCCTCCAAGGTTTGGATCATTCTTTCAGCCAGCCCATCAGTTTGAGGATGGTAGGCCGTGGAAAAGGCTAATTTAGTTCCTAGCATGTCATGTAGATTTCTCCAAAATTCTGAAGTAAATTTGGGATCCCTATCACTGATGATAATTTTGGGAATTCCCACGTCAGCCATAATTCTGTTCCAAAACAGCATGGCTACTTCCATTGCAGTGTCATCTTTATGATTTGGGATAAACCTGGCTCTTTTGGAATACCTGTCTACTACCACTAGGACAGAATTATAAGAGTAAGCTCCTCCAGGAGGTAATCCTGTGACAAAGTCCATATTAATGATTTCCCACTTAGTACTGGGTTCAGTAATTTTCTGGAGTAGCCCATATCTTTTCCCTGTTTGTTTATTTGATTTTTGACAAATTTCACAAGACTTGACATAATTGGTGACTTGGGATCTCCAGTCTAACCACCAGGCAGTATGTTTTATCCTTTCCACTGTTCTGTCCTCAGAAAAGTGGCCAGAATTGACATTATCATGGCATTCATAAAGAATGTTGTCAATTTGTGCCTGGTCACAGAGTACTAAAACACTAGAGTGTCTATTTCTGTAGTACAGCAGTCCATCCAATAAGGTGAATTTTCCTTCAGCATAAGGTTTTGCCAAATTAGGGGGCAGGCTAGCAATTAACTCAGGGGAACTATTTTCATTGCTTAATATGTCAACTAATTTTAACAGTTCAATATTATCCTTATAGCTGTCTTGGACTAAATTGTAAAAGGCTATATCCAAATCACACACGTGAATACCTAGAATTGGAAAAATGTCCTCATCTTCAGGATCCCAGGCTGGGTTATCAGGTGTGTTGGGCAAGGCCCATCTACTAAGCCCATCTGCATTTCTATGTTTAATGCCAGCTTTATGAACAATTGTCATATGCCCTCTGTATTGTTGAATAGCAATTTGCCACCTGAGCATATGTCTGTTAGGTGTTTTCATATTCATGAGAGTTTTAACTGCTGTGCAATCAGTGACTACTACAACTTTTGTGCCCTCCAGGTAGTAATGTAATTTTTCAAGTGACCAGACTAATGCTAAACACTCCATCTGACTTGCTCCATATTTCCTCTCACTAGATTTGATTTGCCTAGAGATAAACAGTACAGGTTTTTCAGTTGGAATATCATCAATCTCAAATTCTTGGTGCAAAGCTGCGCCTAAACCATCCAAACAAGCATCTATGTACAGAATAAATGGTTTGGTGTAATCAGGCTGGGCTAGAACAGGAGCAGTGGTCATGAGGTGTTTAAGTTGCTCATAATCTTGGACACGTGAGTATGTCATTTCATATATCACATCTCTGCTGCAAATTTCATAAAGACTATGAGTAATATTGGCAAATTTGGGGATGTGTTGCCTAGTGTTTTCATCAGGCGTATGGGCGCCGAATGGTGTCTACCTGTCTACCTTGTATAGGGGACAGGTAGACCAGGTAGACCATTGGTCATTGGGCCTTTGCCTGATTTTTTGAAAATTATTTACTGAGGTAGACTTTGATCCATCCCAGGTAGAAAAATAATACAAAAAAAGTGGCTGGTTGATGTATCTAGACTGTGCAATTTTGATTTTGCATGATGTGTTGATGGATTTGGACTATTTAATTTTAAATTTCCATGATATGAACTGCAACCAGGTAGAAAATTAAGCTGTACCCATACAGAAATATCAATTCTCTATGATATGACGAGCAACCAATTAAACGTTTAAGCCATAACAATTACAAATGAGCAAGTAAGATGAAGTAGAAAGTGGAATTAGATTCTACGTTGATACCTCCAGGTTGAAATATATTTGCAAGAAAGTGGCTAGTAAGAGCATATAATTTGTAGAGTATCCTTCTATCTTGAAAAGTAAAAGAGAAAAATAAAGCAATGTGTTCAAAGGATGCCCCCAAAAAGTTATTGACCTAGTGGTGAATAACTTTTCAAAGGAGGTCAGAGTACCTAATTGGGCTTACTGGGTGAGCAGGCACCAATTCCACAATGGAATTGGTGGCAAAAACAAGAGGAAGTTGTAGATAATTGTTTGCCATAGCTCACAATTCTGCCAGTCCATCTGAAATAGCTGAAAAAAGTGCATTGACCTGGAGGTGAAAGTATTTCAGAGAGAGGTTCCAGTGAGTATTTGTTTGAGTCGTATGTGCTCCAGAGGGTACATTCTCTCAATGCAACAAAGCATTATTTTTATAGAAGTCCTTGTAACAAGAACAGATATGTCATGGTGTCAGATTATTGAGTTAACACCCACCTTCTCCTACTGGGAGTTTTATTTCTTACCAAGTATTTATTATCGTGAGTTTCTGATTTCTTACCAATTATTTATTCTTGTGAGTTTCTCTCCCTATTTAAATTTCTCTCTGGTTTCTCCTTATCTGATTGTTTCCTTCTTTTCCTGCATCAATATTTGTGAATTTGATCCTATCCATGTCCTTGATTGGTGAGTATGTTTCAAAAGCACTGTGGAATTGAGCAGGGAAAGTGACAAAAAAAGCCCATTGACCTAGAGGTGAGAGGATTTGACAGGGAGGTCCTAGTGATTTTTGGCTAAGTTGTATGTTCTCCAGAAGGCACACTGTGGCATTGGAGGAAACAGTATGGTTGATAATTTTCCTACAAGTTATTGGCAAAAGGGCAGCTGTGTAAGATCAGTGAGTCATGTCATGCCTTCTTCTACATCTCCCTTTCTAATCTTTATATTGTGAGTTGAACCCCTCAATTAATTGCCTCTCTATCACATCACATTCCATGATTGTCTTTATCCATCATTAATATCCATGATATTAATTCTGTCAATCCAAAATACACAACAAATATAGCTTTCTTTCTTTCTTTCTCATCACTGTCATCGATTTACTTGCTTTCTTATCCAACAGTAAAATAAAACATATTAATTCATCCATTCCAATCCTTGATCTGTGACTTCAAATCGCAATCAATACAGTGTTCCAATATATCTCCTCTCCATTCCTAGATAATCAGTTGTAAAATCAAAGGTGATTACTTGAACAAATCACAAAGAGGTAATTTTTAAAACCTCAGCCAAGTACTTGTAAAATTAAGCTTATTCATAATTAATATCTACTAAATAATCATAGATCTTGGCACTAGGTTCCCATTGGGCCCTGTCAAGCTTTAATTTTTTAGAGAACTGTTCTGCTCTGTTTGTACTTGTGCTATCATTTTTTGATATTATCTCCCCTGTGGGTTTTATACAGTGCATTGCATTGTCTTGATCTTGTATCCACTTTTCATTAATAACAGTCTAAATAATTTGCATGCAGTATTTACTTCAGGGCAGTATTCTTTGTAGTAATTAATACATGATGCTTTCAATTTTCCTTTTTCAGAAATAGAAGAAAGGGCAGTTCATTACAATATAAATATGATTAAACAGTCACATAGTCAGAGGAAGAACGGGTTAACCTTCCTGATTGATTATTTTTCTTTATTCTTAATTGTCATGATTATTTATTATCTTAACCCAGTCAATCCTTCATCTATTACTTGACAATGCATGTGAGTGTTTTTTCTTGTTGTCTTGGTTGTTGATTGTCTTTATTTCTGACCTGTTAGTGAAATGTATTAATTTATCCCTGGTTTGGAAGTCTTGTTTTTGTGTACTTTTATAAGAGACATTGAATAAACATTAATTTGCATTGTAGTGCGTACTGCTAAAAAGCCCAGACAATAATTGCTTGTAAAGCCCAAGGGAAAACTCACACAGAAATGATTGTAAAAAACCACAGGCAAGTGGTTGTACAAACCACACAAAATACTTTGAAACCCATCTGATTTATCACACACTGTATTCTTGTTGAATATTTGATGGACAAGAATGAGATATATATACTATTTTTGCTTCACATTCTTTCTGTCTTGCACTACATTATTTCAAAGGGGCCCATTCAATTTTATTATTTTGATTTTGTTTCACTTCTAATCAATGAGTCTCAAACTGAAGATTGGTTTGTTTGCTGAGTGCCCAGATAGTTTGAATAATTTTCATACAATATTTACTTCAGGGCTGTTTTCTTTGCAGTTATTTGTGCAGTATCCCATCAATTTCCCTCTAAGAAACAGAAGAAAGAAAATTTCATGTCATCACCAAATAAATAAATATGATTAAACAAGCAAATAAACGGAGAATGAATCTAATAATCTTCTCGATTGATAGTCTCCCTTTCTTTCTTGTCATGTACTGACATCTATCATTTCAATCGCGTCAGTCTCTCAGCTGCTGCTTTGCAATGTATGTATGTAAATATTTTTCCTTTGTGTCTTGGTCTTTCTTTCTTGTCCATCATGAAAATTCCTTTATTTATCTAGAATATAATTTGTGCTTCAGCCTTCTATCATGATAAGTAAAAGTGAAAACAAGGCAATGTGTTCAAAAGATGATCCAAAGAAGCCATTGAATTAGTGGTGAATTGCTTTGAAAAGGAGATCAGAGGAACTATATGGGCTCGCTGGGTGAGTAGCCACCAAAAGCACTGCAGCATTGGGGGGAAAAAGAAGGGGAAAGCATAGCTAATTGTTTGGCATGGCTGACAATTATCTGAAGTGGCCCTGCAAGTTTCCCTCCTCAATTAATTCTCTCTCTTTGTTGCCTCTTTCTCACATTTTTCTTATCCTTCATCAATATTTATTATTTTGGTCCTATCTGGTGAGTACGTTCTAAAATCACAGTGAAATTGGATTTAGAAGGAAGGGAAAATGATAGAAAAGCCCATTGGCCTAGAGGTGAATACATTTGAGAGGGAGGTCCAAGGAATTTTTTTGGCTGAGCTGTGTGTCTTCTAGAAGGGGCCTTGTTAAATTTAAAGGAAAAATATATTGATTCATTCTCCTGCAAGTTATTGGAAAACCTGCAGCTGTGTGAAGTCAGTGGGTTGTATCATGCCTTCTTCCACTTTGACTGTATGTTTTATCAATTATTTATTTCTAAGAGTGGATCTGCTCAATCAATTGTCTCTCTTGCTTATCTCTTCTTTTGATCATCTTCATGTTTGTTCCTTCATTGATGTTTGATGAATTTATACCTGTCAATCCTTCATCTGTTGCTTCAAAAATTCAATGAATATTATCCAGTTTGCATTTCTAGATAATTATCACTTGCACAAACAACAAAAAAGCACAAACAGTACTTGTAAAACCAAAGATAGCAGAAACTTTATCCCTGGTTAGAAATTCTTGTTGATGTGTTGCGCTACCATTTTTTTTCTGGTAGTATTTATTCTAGATAAATACTTCCGACGTCTGTTACTCCAAATATGCTACCAATAAAATTAGTTAGATGAGTTCTTGTCAAGCCATAGGTGATTGAGGCTTTCCAGGATTCCCCAGTGACCTGCAACCCCTCACAAATGGATAAACCACATCTGAAGTTGACCCTGTGGCCCAGGAGATCCCAGCCCAGATGCCAAAGGCAAACATCACTCTAGAACTTTTTTTTTCCCTCAGGTTAAACTAAGCCCAGCCCAGCCCGACCCTAACCCGGCCCACGGCCCGGATCAACCTCGAGCTGAAACCATTTCAGCTCGAGGTCATAGCTGTATGTATGTGTGTGTAGATTAGAAACCACATAGACCCGGCCCACGGCCTGCATCGACCTCGAGCTGAAACCATTTCAGCTGGAAGTCGAAGCTGTATGGAGGGGCTTGGTCTTGGGGCTTTGATAAAAGTCAGGGGATACCGACCTCAAGCTATAAACTATTCAGCTTGAGGTCCAGAAATCAAGCTGAGTTGTTCAATCTTGAGCTGATAAACCTTCAACTCGAGGTCGATTGCCGTCATGTCTCTTTGATCTGAGGTAATCACAGTAAAGGCAGGTCCAATGCCTTGACTACCTCAAGCTGAACGAGATCCGGCTCGAGGTCAAGGGAGGTTGTGTTGATTTGCTTTGAGGTACAGTCGACCTCGAGTTGAAGCGCGTTCATCTCGAGGTCTTTGTTTTGAGATGCAGTCGACCTCGAGATGAAACGGTTTCAACTCGAGGTCCATTGAAATTCGCTGTTGACCGAGCTGAAGTAGTTTCACCTCGAGGTTGTTCAACTCGAGGCCCATTAATATTTGTGTTCGACCTCGAACTGAAGGAGTTTCAGCTCGAGTTCAAGGTCTGGCAATGCTTGGAGGCACCAGTCGACCTCGAGTTGGAGCTGGTTCATCTCGAGGTCTTTGTTTTGAGATGCAGTCGACCTCGAGATGGAACGGTTTCAACTCGAGGTCCATGTAAAATTCCCTGTTGACCTCGAGCTGAACTAGTTTCAGCTTGAGGTCGGTCGAGGTCTGGGCAAAGGCAAGGGACCTCCAGCCGAAGGACACTCAGCTCGAGGTCTTTTGTTCTCATCTACTGATAAGAGATCGACCTCGAGATGAATTGCTTTCAGCTCGAGGTCGGTTGTGGGTGAGGTCATAGGGAGTCGACCTCATTGACCTTGAGCTGAAACAGATTCAACTCGAGGTCTGGGCAAAGGAGAGGGACCTTGAGCCGAAGGACACTCAGCTCGAGATCTTTTGCTTTCATCTACTGTTAAGAGATTGACCTCGCGCTGTACTGCTTTCAGCTCGAGGTCGGTTGTAGGTCAGGTCAGCAACCTTGAGCTGTGTAGTTCTCAGCTCGAGGCCACCTGCTCCTGTGGATCATGAAGGATCAACCTCGAGCTGAACGGTTTTCTGCTCGAGGCCTGGGACTCAGGGTGAGGTTAATGGGCAACCTCGAGCTGAAAGCTGTTCAGCTCGAGGTTGCCTTTTCCTCTTGATGATGAGGTATTGACCTCGAGCTGAATTGTTTTCAGCTCGAGGTCTCGGTGATGTTCATGACAGTCAACCATGAGCTGGGAAGTATTCAGCTTGAGGTCCCCTGTTGCCCTAACTGAAGAGGGAGGGATGGACCTCGAGCTGATTTGTTTGCAGCTCGAGGTAAGGGTTAGGCCGACAGATACATACACTGAGAATAGACCTCGAGCTGAGGCCGTTTCATCTCGAGGTCGCTTCTTTGTGTTGTGACATGTGGGCCTCGACTGAACCCTGTGACAGCTCGAGGTCCAGTCGAGTTGTGATGAGTCAGGCAATCCGGGTTCATGCTCACCTCCTCGACTTCATCATAAAAGTTTGGCTGCGATGCTGATCCGACCTATCTCTCTGGATTGTCATCAATCAGGTGGACCGAGAACATGGACGATTAGAGAGGGAAAATACGACTACACTCAACTAACAAAAACAATTACAATTATCCATTCGGTTTGGATTCTCCTCATACAATCGTTGACCTGGCACGAGATCGACTCCGCTCTGGATTTCGCCTCCTCACAGCCGGACCAAGACTCTTCCGCTCTGTATTTTGCCTTCTCGCAGCAGGATCACGACTCCTCCGCTCATTTGACTTTGGTCGATTCGTTTGATCTGTAAGTTGTTTGTTGACCCAGGGTGACATTGAGACTGGCTTTGAGGTGCTGTTGGCTGATTTTTTTGTTGGCTGTTTGGGAAATGATCTCGCTTCAGAACGAGATAGTACAGGTAATGCGCGCCTCTCATATTGTTAATCTGTTGGAAACTAATTCCAGATCCAGTTTGCTGGGTTTTTCTGCTTGTTTGCTCTCAGACCGAAAACGTTTTGAAATAGGATAGCCATCAGCCAACTCTACCCGGAATCCAATCTGTTTAGGCTCTTTACCTCACTTCGACACGACCTCAGGCATCGATTTGGAGTTGGCTGTGAGTTCTCTTGTCTTAGGTGATTAACTGATGGAGGACCTTTTTGCCTTGACACCTATACATGCCATCTGACTTTGAACTGTATGACCCTCTGGCGCGACTGTTGTTTATTCCGGTCGATAGAAGGCGGCAAGCAAACTAGAACGAATCACTTCACAGCTCATCTCCGTGGCTTTAATCATCGCATCTGTCAGCTTGATACGGCCTTGTGCGATCCACCTTGGGTTGACTTGCGATCTCGTCTTGGATCGAATCGAACGAAAAGCGACACACTTGTGTGGCCTTCTGGTCTTGTGGTGAGTCGTGTGTACGTTGCCTACATCCCGAGATCGACCTCGGGATGAACATTTTTCAGCTCGAAGTCGATTTGCGTTGTCGAGGGGAGGTTGACCTTGATCTGAGGCGCTGTCGACTCAAGGCCTGCTGAGGAAAGGGAAACCAATCTCAAGCTGAAGAAGAATCAGATTGAGGTCTCACGATTAGAGAATATATTGAGATGACGCTGAGCTCCACCTGTCTTGTTTGTTTTCTTCAATGCGGCAGGAGTTGGTACGCGATAAGATCATCTCGCTGTCTGGTCAATCATCTTCGTACCTCGTAGTGGAACGATCTCGAACCTATTTCCTTCTAGATTGTACCGCAATTGGAGTTAGTGGTAAGTTTTGCAATTGCTTCATGCATTTTTAATGGGTACTGCCCATGGGGGCAGATCTCCTGAGGCCCAGATTGCTGATGTTTTTTGTTTGTCTATAGGACTGGCTGTGTTATCTCAATCAGACTCAAGGTTGTGCACTGATCGATAGGAGCTGCTACTTCGGATATCTGTGGCTTTGTTTGATTAGACTTCAGTGGGCGCTCGATTCACACTAGTGGGGCTTGTGCCAAAACGTGTACACTGACAATTGGTTTGGGTTGTTTGGGTCTCTCGGAGTGAGTATGGTTTATGTGGCTTACGTCTGCGCTATCGACCTCGAGCTGAACGGTTTTCAGCTCGAGGTCGACTTGCATAGTGGAGGGGATGTTGACCTCAAGCCGAAGGGGATTTGACTCGAGGCCTGCAAAAGAAAATGGACACCAATCCCTAGTCGGAGGAAACCCTCGTCCTTGTTCAGAGGAGTTCTCCATAGGGTGTTTACTGATGGTCATTTGTTTCCTTCATTGTAGTTAAACTTCATTTTGGGTTTGTGTAATGCTTGACGTCGTGCTACATCAATCTTGTAGAGTTAATTCTTCCTCGATTGGTGAGTGTTGCCTTCTTCAGCTAAGGTCTCGATGTCCATGTTTTCCAGTACAACGCTTATTCCGACCTCGAGCTTAACTGTTTTCATCCCGAGGTGAAGCTGACCACCCTATTCCCTGGATTAGCTTCTGTCTTTTCTGCATAACTCAGATTGCTCGTTTCACCTCCCTCTGTGGCGAGCTCTGGGGTGGAATTTTGATTGGGGGATTTGAGATTTCAGTATCAGTTGGGGACTCTCACTCTGCTATCGAAAGGTCCGGGTTTGTCGACAGCAATATTGATCTTCTGTGAGTGCCTGCTCTGGGTATTTGATGAACATGTACATAGGACATAAGAATTGTTAGGCTGATAGACTGGATGTTTTGTATCAGTTTGAGATATTTCAGCATATAGCTTCCTTTGTTTATTTATAGATTATTGTGACTGTTGGTCTGGTTTGTTAGTAATGGTTTGATTCTGAGAGGTGTATTTTGCAGTTGGGACTCCCTTTGGTGAAGTTGTTGATTTTGTTGTTATCAATCATCTATGAATAGTTACAGGATTGCACAGCAATTGTAACCTACCACAGACTGGATTCTCAGTGAGTAACAGCTGTCATCATGCCAGTCTGGCTTAATTATGTTGACTTCCAGATCTGTTACACTTGACTTATCTGCAAATGCATAGAAGCTGTTTTCCACCTTGTTGAAGTGCCACCCACATACTTGGAGCTCTGTGAGTGCCTGCTTCCATGGTGAGGTGGAGGTGGAAAATGTGGCAGCTTATGACTAACATTTGAAACTTGGTGTCACATACAGGAAACAAAAATCTTGTTGAGTACCTCCCTCCACCTTGAGGTCTGGGGGAACTTCTTGATTGATTGCTTTGGACTTTGAAGAGGGGTTGCTGACAGGGCTGGTGTGTTTTATGAAATGAACTCTTTGCTTCCCTGTGACTTCACTTGTGTTTTTTAATGATGCCCTTTGGCCCTGTCTTTCTTTCCTGCAGATTCACCCACACGAAACAGTAATCTCAGTGAGTACTTCTTTCCAGCTGGAGGTCAAGGGGAAAATTCTGGTTCTATTTCATGTGATTTCTGTGGGATTGATGCTGATACTGACTGGTACTTTCTTTTCTATATAAAGGCCATTTACGGCGCGGTTGCTTCACCGGCAAGCCTCTATTTCTGTGAGTACCTCCCTTCATCACTGGGTCAAGGGTGAAATCTGGCTGTCCAGCTGACTTGTCATCTGTTGTATATAAAAGGCCCTTGTTCTCCCCTGTAGAGTCGCCCACAGGAACCATCAATCTCTGTGAGTACGTCTCAGCTTGAGGTCAGATAATAAATTCTGGGTTGGTTTCTGTGTAATTTTGTAGGATTTGTTGCTGACTGGGCCTCCCTTGGCTATATAAAGACCTCTTTTTTTCCCCTTGTAGAGTCACCCACAGGAACCATCAATCTCCGTGAGTACCTCCCTTCATCTTGAGGTCAAGTGGTTATTTCTGCTTTGGTTTCTGTGTACTCTTGGAGGAATTGTTGCTGACTGGACCTCCTTTTGCTATATAAAGACCCCTTGTTCTCCCCTGTAGAGTCACCCACAGGAACCATCAATCACTGTGAGTACCTCCCTTCAACTTGAGGTCAAGTGATAAATTCTGGTTTGTTTTCTGTGTAATTTTGGGGGATTTGTTGCTGACTGGACCTCCCTTTGCTATATAAAGACCTTTTTTCCCCTTGTAGAGTCACCCACAGGAACCATCAATCTCCGTGAGTACCTCCCTTCAACTTGAGGTCAAGTGATAAATTCTGGTTTGTTTTCTGTGTAATTTTGGGGGATTTGTTGCTGACTGGACCTCCCTTTGCTATATAAAGACCTTTTTTCCCCCTTGTAGAGTCACCCACAGGAACCATCAATCTCCGTGAGTACCTCCCTTCATCTTGAGGTCAAGTGGTTATTTCTGCTTTGGTTTCTGTGTACTCTTGGAGGAATTGTTGCTGACTGGACCTCCTTTGGCTATATAAAGACCCCTTGTTCTCCCCTGTAGAGTCACCCACAGGAACCATCAATCTTAGTGAGTACCTCCCCTCAGCTTGAGGTCAGATAATAAATTCTGCTGTTGTTTGTTTGTAATTTTGGAGGATTGGCTGCTGACTGGACCTCCCTTTGCTATATAAAGACCTCTTTGCTCCCCCCTGTAGAGTCACCCGCAGGAACCATCAATCTTAGTGAGTACCTCCCTTCATCTCTAGGTCAAGGGGGAAATTTGGCTCTTAATTGTAACTGACTGGGCATCTCTTGTCTATAAAAGACCCTTGTTCTCCCCTGTAGAGTCACCCACAGGAACCACCAATCTCAGTGAGTACCTCCTTTCAACTTGGGGTTAACTAATAAATTCTGGTTTGGTTTTTTTGAAAATTGGGGGGGTTTTTACTGATGTTATTTTTGCTGTCTATATAAAGTCCTCACTTGACCCCTCTTTTCTATAAAAGAGCCTTCTTTTCCCCTGTAGAGTCACCCACAGGAACCATCCATCAACCTCAGTGAGCACCTCCCTTCAACTTGAGGTCAAGGGATAAATTCTGGTTTGTCTCCTGTGCAATGTGGGGGAATTTGTGACTGACTAGGCCACTTTTGCTTATAAAAAGGCCTCTTTCACCCCTGCTGTTTCACCTGGAAGGCTCTGCTTCAGTGAGTACCTCCCTTCATCTCTAGGTCAAGGGTGAAATCTGGGCCTCAATTGTAGCTGACTTGGCATCTCTTGTCTATAAATGACCCTTGTTCTCCCCTGTAGAGTCACCCACAGGAAACATCAATCTCAGTGAGTACCTCCTTTCAACTTGAGGTCAACTAATAAATTCTGGTTTATTTTTTTAAATTTGGGGATATTTTACTGATGGTGGTTTTGCTGTCTATAAACAGCCCTCCTGCTCCCCTGTTGCTTCACTTGCAATCCTCTATTCCGGTGAGTACCTCCCCACACCACCAGGTCAAGGTTGGGTGTCTGGTTCCCTTCTTTGAATTTTTTTGGGATGATTTGACTGATTCTGTCTGTGTTGTTTATCGCATGCTTCTCACAGGCTCCGCAAATATTTCTGTTGCCTTCCCTTGAATAGTCTTATCTTTGTGCTCTAGTAAATTATCTTACATATGTAAGTGGCTGTTTTTTCCTTTGGTTTGTTTTTCATTCTCATGTTTCGGGGGGGACCTCCCTTGGACTTGAGGTGGGGTGTAGATTGGGCTTTTGGCTAACTGTTCATTTTGGGTGCCATTTAATATCAACAGATATCCTCAACAACTCGTTATTTCCCCTCTTCAACTCTTTATTTCCCCTCTTCACTATATTTTATTCTAGTAAGTACCTCCCTTTGAATGGAGGTCAGGATTAGGGTGAGACTTTGCTGAGGTCTATTGTACTCCATTGTCATTGAGTTTCTGTAGTTAAAACTAAAAAAATGGTAGCTGTAAACACCACGGATGGATTCACAGTCCCTAGCCCGAGGAGGTCGGCACGTTTGGCCACCGTGGAGCCTCTGAGCCCACAAAAGAAGAAACCAATGAGTCCTACGGAGAAGAGGGCCCACGACTTAAGAAACACCCCTCGAGATGACATGGACTTGGACGTGGATGTTGCGGACAAGGAGAACACGGCTACGGCGGGGACTAACGGTAGTGAAACTTGTGTGACGGCTAGTGATCAGATGGATGTGGATGTAAGTCTGCTTTTTTCAGATCATTGAATGAGATTTCTTGGCTCATTCAGTGGCTGCTCATCATCATCCTCTCCAGCTGTCTGGGCAGATTGGCCTCACCAACTTCCTGGGTATAGGCACCCAGGAGGCCTGCGAATTCGAGTTTGGGAATATCTCCCCCTCAGACTTGAATGCAGAGCATCTGGAGGTCCTGGCTCAGATGGTTCATGTGAACAACCAGATTGGAATCTCACTCTCTGTTGGTTCTTCTTTACAGTCATCCACCCCACACCCAACTGGGTCTCCTCCCAAGACTCCACCCTCACGAAAAAAGTCTAGTCCCAAGAAAAACAAAGGGAAGAAGAAAGCAGCTTCGCCGGTCCCAAGCAACGACAATAGCATTGGCTTCAGTCCCTTGTCTGAGTCTCACACTGGAGAGCAGCCGATGACGTCAACCCCGGCCGCGCAGACTGGGGAGTTGCTGGAATTTGACTTCAACACCCTTGGCCAGTCAAAGAAGGCTCTGCCTAGCGACTTGGATGCTCTTGTGAATGAATTGGTCCCAATGCAAACGGCGGCAAACGACACTCGTCCCATCGACAAGGAGCCTGCTCCAGTTGAGTCAAACTCTGCCCCTCATCCGCCGAAACCCATACCTCGAAAGAAACAGGTCAGTCTGTTCATGCCGCGCTCCCTCTCGAATCAGGTCCGCCACAATCTGCCGGGGGAAACTCAGACATTGGCTCAATTGGACCGTGAAATGCAAACGATTCAGCTCCCGGACGCAGCAGCATTGGCTTTGATGAGTGTGAAGGAACTGCAAAAGATGAAGGAATCTTGTGAGTGTCTATTCATCAGCTACAATCTGCTAGAAGAATACAAATCTGACTTGTCCCTGGAATTGGTCTGTAAACAGTGAAGAAGGTCACGGACGCACAGATACTTGCTTTCAGGGAAATGAAGAGTGCTAGTGGAATGGTAGCCTTCCCCGGGGTGCTAGACGGTTTGATGAAGAACATTCGGTACATGACTCGCTTCATGAACCATCTCGAGGATAAGATATTAGAGGCGACACGGCATGGGAGGCAGGAGATTGAAGTCATTCAAATCTCTGACGGCGACGACGAGGAAGTGAGCATCATGCCACGTAGACGGTCAGCTGCGGAACTCAAGGACTTTATGAGGCCAGGATTGGTTCCAGTGCCATCACATCTCAATCCGGCAATGAAAAGATCTGGTAGGCTGATTCGGTTCATTGGGTCTCATGTTCTTGGGCAGCAAACTGACCACACTCCTTTCTGGTCCTACTAGCCTCATCAAGCTCACCAAACCAGAACAGGAATAAGCGGGCAAAGTCTCAAGATAGTAGGTTTCTTTCCTCTCTCACATCTCTGTCGCTCATTCTCAATTCTAACCAAGTCCTCTGGGTTCCAGACTCGTCGAGCACCGCAAACTCGTACCTCGCAGACTTGGTGCCCCAGTTTGAACCTGGGGCCCAAAAAACAGTTACTGAAATGGAAAAGGATCGTCGCGAATTGGCCACAATTCAAGAACAGGAAATCATTCAGGAATCCAACGCTTCGACTCCGCCACCTTACGATGATTCAACGAAGGAATTGGTCGATCCACTTGCTCGAGCAAGGGCAGCTATGCACAGGGACAGAAGGAGGGCTGCTGCTGAGGCTGCTCTGGCAGCTGATCTCGCTGAAGCTGCTATGATTCCACCGCCACCAGTTCCTGTCCCTGCCGTGCCAGCAACCACTCTGGCAACTGCTTCTGCCACTGGCCCCGCTTCCGTACCAGCTCAATCTGTCGCACCGGTACCGCCTGGTTCTCAGTCTGCTCCACCTGCCGCTGCCTCTGCCTCTCAATCAGCCCAGACCACCGCGCAAACCCCTGCCGCCTCTCAGCCTGCTCCAGCCCTGCCTACTACTGCTCAAGACCCAGCCCCTAGTCAGCCAGACGACTCGCAACAGACTGCACCAGAGGGAGGTGCCAAGAAGGGAAAGGGGAAAGGCAAAGGAAAGGAGACTGTTCCAGAACAACCGCCAAAGAAACTTCGAAAGAACATGACTGCAGAGGAAAAAAAGGCGGACGACGAAAAAAAGGAGAAGGAAAGATCAACAAAGAAATTCTACAGCATTCCAACCACAGCAGGTGAGCTTCTTTCTGGTGCAGCAGGCCATGTGGTCACTGAACTGACATCTTCCTCTATGGCACCAGCGCTCCTTTCTGGTATTTGGGACAGGACCAAGGTAATGGACTCGGCTGAAGAGTATAAGCGAATGATAAAAGATTCAAAGAACACTTGTTGGGACTTTGGACCGGAACTCTTAGTGAAAGTAAAGCAAATGATCAAATGGTCGAAAAACGATACTCATCGGGATTCGTTCTACACACGCAAAGACCTGTTCCGACTCGAAAGTCCAACAGTCCAAGTCCTCGGAGTGCTTTCGGGCAAGCAATACAAATCTTGTATTCACAAAGGTATGTTTTTCTTCAGCCACACTGCCGAGGTGGCCATCTGTCTGACACTTGTGCCTAATGGTCGTGGAATCTCTGCTCCTCTGTAGCGGTTAGGCTCTTTCAGGTTGATGCACAGGATCCCTTCTGGAAACCTTTGGTAGTCAACTTCAAACTGGTGAAAGAGGGATTCGAATCAAAAGAACAGGACAAGGCTCACGCGTGGACGGTCTTGGGGTCAATGATGTGCCGGATGGACGATTCTCACGAGTTTACGGCAGATTCCTTTGTATCAAAGTTGCTCTCATACGGACAAGCAAGGCTCGCGACATTGGCTGCTGACTCGTACAATCAGCTGCACAAGTTTATGGTCATGGACGAACCTCAACCAGAAACTGGCAACAGGGAGGACGACATGCTAGATTCAATGGCCAATGCCGGCAAATACATCATCGGAAAAATTCGGTGCCTCAAGGCAGGAGCGGCAGAGACAACAGGGTCCAACTCACGGGCAGGGAACGGCTTCTTGGTAATTCAAAGACGGATCTGGGAAACACTTCTTTGTATCCTCATGATGCAGCAGTCTAGCTTTATGGAGGAATGCGCTTCGATGAAGGAAGGCCATATTCGCGAAGATGAGGTCGCCAAGCTGACTGAGGACATGGTAGCTAACGACCGCGGACGATCAATTTTCGACAAAGGTGATATCGTGACGGAATTGACAGAGAAGCAGAGAAAGGAGTGGGGTAAACTTCGGCTCGGGGCGTTTGGTTCTATGGCGATTTATTTTCTTTACGGCGCGGCCGGATGGTGGCATTGTCTCTACAACAACAGTGCTTACAATCAGAAGGACATTTGGTCTCTAGTCACGCTCGCTCACGCTAGACACGAATACTTGTACACTGATGGACGATACACTCTTAGGGCCCCAGAGTGCACCCCCTGGTACACAACCGACAGCTTCATCCGGTTTGTACTCCGCTTGGCTAATGTCACCCAAGACAACATCTTTGAGATGGATTGGGACATTGCTCCACGAACGTTCAATAAGTGGGTCACCGATGAGAATATCGCCCGATTCGCATTACACGATATCCTCAGAGAGTGCAACTTGCCCGGTCAATCGCTCAACTTAGATGGTAATCCGGCTCCACCAGTCACATTGCTTGAGGCACACGAGGAGGAAGTTCGTCAGATTACAGAGAAGGTCAGATCAGCTTGGGACCCAGCAGTGGCACGACATCTAATCTCATTGGACGAAGCAGATGTCAGTCCAGACGTCTCAGCAGCTAATGCTTTGCGGGGCCTCAGCATCGAACAATCTCAGCCGGCTCAGGGGACTTCTGGATCACAAAGGCCTCCAGACACCCAGCAGTCAAAGGCCCCTACACCTCCACCCAACGCCCAGCCATCCTCCGCAGCCAACAAAGATAATCCAGCCCCCCCAAGTAGTGATAGGTCTGACTCCCCCATCCCTCGCCGATCAAAGAAGAAGACTCCAAGGCAACCATCAACTCCCCCAAGTGACACTCACGAGTCCTCGGTTCGCTCAGTAAAGAATAGGGAACCAACGCCTACTCGGTACACCGACGATGAAGAAGAGGAAGAGGAAGAGGAAGAGGAAGACGAAGACGAAGACGAAGATGGAGATGAAGAGGCTGAGGAGAGAAACCGCAGGAAGAAAGAATCCAGGTTTGTGGATGTTGTAGCTGGAGAGGATTAGTTGTCTTTGTTTGTGTCTTCCTTGTTTTTTGGTCGTTTTGTTGTACACTCTACCGTGTTGGAGTCGGCTTGCTTTATTCCTTTTCTTTTCATGATGCTTGGTTTATCATTCTTATTCCTTCCTCTTTGTTGTTTGTCACTGTGCTTGAAATTCATTCTCCTTTCTACCTGCTGCAAGTTCCTCTCTGCTGCCAAATGCAGCTTGGTTTGGTGAAGATGTTTCCTCAGCCGTGAGGGTGTGATGGGTTTGACTTCCAATGTCCCCTTGTGTAAACTCCTGAGCCTGGTGTGTGTGCAATGAATTCTCAATTGTGGAAGACCCACCTCCCTTTGGAAACATTTCAGCTCCATCAAGCGGCTGATTTTTTCAGTACCTCCTCCGTGGGTGGCCAAGTCACATGTCCTGTCTGCTTTGGGGGTGTTGGAGCTATATTATTCGTTTTTCCACCCATGTCCTTCTTGATCTTAATATGGTATTTCATTGCGGCAGTTGTTGGCTGTCTTAGATCACAGTTGATTATCTGTTTATTCTGGTGGCACTACCTGGACCTGAGTCTCACCTCCCTGTGGTCATTGTTTGGCTTGATTAACCAGTCACGGGATCATGGGATTCTCTTGCGCAACTATTACCTCTCTGTCTGCAAGTAATTGCTGGCCTTATCATTTTGTTGCTTATCTGACTGTTCTAGACACAGGTCTGGCTTTCCAAGTCTCACCTCCCTTTGAACAACCTTTGCCTCTACCAACCACATAATTTTCTGGTGATTCTGGTGGGGTAATCTAGGCATTCTGTTCCATCCAATGCTCACCTCCCTGTGAACACATTTCAACTCTATTAATCAGGCAATTTCTTATTACTCCTGGTGTCCAACCGGAGTTTCCTTTTTCAACCCGCGTGAAATACTTATCAACTTGGTGGCTTGATGGCTTTTTTCTGGTGTAATCCAGGCAGGCATTTTCAAGGCTCACCTCCTGCCAATTCATCTTTGGCTCTATTAACTGGTGAATTTCTTCTGTTTTTTGACGTGTAAGCTGAGTCGTTGATTCCAACTAGCACCTCCTTGTGGGATGCTTTCACCTCTATTAGCAGGGTGATTTTCTGATTTCTCTTAGGGGGTCTCACAATCTTCCGTTCCAAGTACCACCTCCCTGTGAGGGCCTTTCAGCTCTATCTAATCGTCCATTTTCATCTTCAACAAGCATGTCATCTTTTTCCTCTGGTATCTTTTGCGTTCAATGTTAATTCAACTCTGTGGATTGAACTCTCCCACGGGTTGAGGGGTCAGATTTTGGTATATAAAGACCTATCAATAGGGAGGGGGTCTCCTTCCAGAGAACACACTTCTGTCTACAGTCTCACCACATAAATTTTACTTATTCCTATAAAGAAATCCTTCTAGTCCCAGGTCTGATCATTATACCTCAACACTTACAAAGCACACTGCAGCATGTCTGAGCCCACTCTTTCATCTCCTTCTACTGTAAAAATCTCCTGCAGCGAACCTGGCTGTGTCCAATCCTTTGCTGACGACAAGTCACTCAAAAAACATCAAAGAGAGGTACACCAACACTCAACCCTCTGCACTCCCTACGCCACTTCTTCTGCTCCTTTCCATGTACATAGAAATCAAGATGGAACTTTTCACTGTCCTACCAAGCATTGTACTTGGTCTTCCCCAATTCCAGGAACCTTTCAAAAACATGTCAAAAATTGTAATCCCGATTCTTTCAACGACAGACCCAAAGTGTTGCCTCTGCCTCCTAGTAGCTTGGCAACCCTCATCCCAGCAGGAAATCAGATCACACGTAAGTGGCCCCACACTTGGCCGGTATATCTCAGAAGATTTTACCTTTGCTCACACTCTTCATATCAATGTAGTCACCAAGGAGTTTCCATTCTTGGGATTCAACACTTACGCCAAGACCCTTGTCTGTCTCGACTGCCACTGCGGAGTGCCAACAAAGGAAGTCGCCGGCCACTTGAGGAGCAGCCCCCACAAGATCAACAACATCATTCCAGATGCAATCATCCAAGCCTTCAAATCAATCAATGTCACTGTTCCTCTCGAGAATAAACGCACCCCACCAAGGGCATCCCAGCCCTGGAAGCCAGTAGAGGGCCTTTACCTCAAACTAGGGATCATCTGTGCGGTCCCTCATAGAGGCTCCATCTGTGGTCATGCGGTCCAAAAGGAAAGCTCTATGAGCAACCATTTCTCTGATATTCATAAAGATGGTCAGCTACATTTGCTCTTGATTCAGTGGCCCAAAGTTCTGCTCCAATCACTAACATCTTCATCAACAGTCCCTGGCGGATGGGCTTCCAATTCACAACGGACCTACGTTCAACACCTCAGCAACTCGACCATACGTTACTTTCCTGTAGAATATTCGGCTCCTCACCCAGCAATCATACCAGCTCCATCTGCTGCCCCCTCCGAGAGTCAGTCAAACACATCCGTTTTGGCTTGGGAACAGCTCTCCTCAGCCCTCAACAAGCTGGATGTCCTTGGCCATAAACAGGCCGTAACAATCTCCTCAGATGATGCCCATCCGGCGCTTGTCTCCAACTTTCTCAATTCTTCTGGAATACATGCACACATCAATGCTTGCACCGACTTACTGCAATGTTCAACCAAGGAGCTTCACACCAAAGTCCACTATCCCAACCTGCTGGCATCCTGGAAACCCTGCGTGGAGAAGTGGCTCATTGGCTGCATGACAGAACTCACCTCGGTTCACGATGCAGTGACTATGGAGGCACTCAGAGAGTCTGTGTAAGCCCCACAATCTTGCCAAACTGTTTATACATATCCTCCCCTGACTAACTCCCTTGTTTTAGCAATGATCCTCCTTCAAGAAGACCAATCCGAGCCCTCCAACAGAGGAGTACCGCTGTTCAATATGCATCCGTTGCAGCCGAATTCATTGTCTTCACTCTGGAAACAACCGGCCAGCCACTAGCAACACATTTCTGGTCAGCCAGCAATAGACGTTTGTCTGAATTTGCAGAAAAGGCATCAGCTAGTCTCAGCTCAATCCAGAGTGACAAGACAGATGCTCAAGGCCAATTCGACAGAGCCTTAAACTTCCTCTTCTGGAACTCCACCTCTTTCTCCGCCTCCATCCTGAAACGCTCAAAGGTGCAATCAGCATTAGAGCAGTTCATTGCCCTTTCAATGATCAAACCAGACGGCTCCTTCTTCTCCCCTTCAAATCTGACTCATACGATCGCTGCCCTTCAATACGTCATACGTGTGGCCACTGTCTTTGCTTGCCTGGAAGGAACTGAGGAGATTTACGCACACCCTCCCTCAGACATCGATCCCAAAGATCATCATCTGCTCGAGCAGTCGGCCATATCAACATATTTTCAGTTCATTTACGACGAAAAACTCATCTCTCCGTTCTTCACCATACGGAATTGGATGCGTCTGGCTTCAACTATCGTGATGAACGAAAAACCTCCAGACCCAACCTACTGGGCCGATTCAGAAATGACAAAGCTGGTCATTGGCCCAACCCAGATCACCATAACAGCTGTGCAGAGAGCCCTGAGGATTGCAATATGCTCGATCAACTCAGTCATCCAACACACCCTCCATGGGGCCTCCTTCCCCGACTTTCTCTATTCAAAGCTAGACGATCAAAGTGCAAACACGTCTCTTGGGTTCAACTATCTGGTGGCCTCAGCCAATGAACAGATGTACCACTTTAAACTTCTGAAAGACTGGGTGCTCAATGGATCCTCACCACCCAACGTCCTCTCTCCGGCTTGGACGTCTGCCATGCGGCTCGAGAATGGTCACTACTCACTCAACTTGGACCAACTTTGTTCAAAAAAACACGCCTGGGACTGGCTAGAGAGTGCAGACCTCATTCTGGAGCACATCTACTTCATCTATCACGTCGGCTGCGGTCAACCTGCCCGTGGAACTGAGGAGGCTGCAATGCTTATCCGGAACATCGACTCGGCTCCAAGGAATATCTATTGGAGGGAAACAAGATTTATGTTCCAGACCTACTACCACAAGGGTCAGAATATCTCAAACAGGTCAAAGCCACGACAGGTGTTCCTCACAGCCGACCTCTCAATGCACTTGCACAATTATCTGGCTTATATTCGCCCCGTCCAAATGTTAGCCTTTTTGGGTTTCATCATGGTGTTCATGTGCAAAAAGCTAACTCAGTCAATCTTTATTGATTAGACTTCTTCTCAAGGCTCTTGACCAACACAATATAGCCAACAGTATGCTCAGCTTCCTTTGGGTTGGCTGCAGGCAAGGGATGTGGGACTCAGAGAGGTTTACTCTGATCCTCAAGAAGCACTTTGCCCTGGCGGGATTGGACCAGATAGGTCTGCGAGCATGGAGGCAGGCCTCTGTCAGCATTGCCCATGCGCACCTGTCTACAAAGATTCCACCCGCCTTGATGCCCACTGAGAATGGACTAGAGAATCCTTCAGAAAATCAACCCGGCATCTTGGACATCATGGACCTCCAACGAAATCACACAGCTCACACAGCAAACTTTCTCTATGGCCACTCTAGCGGTACAGGGGTCGTCAGAGGTTCAGAGTCCAACTTCCTACTGGCCAGTGAGGCCTGGCAGGCTTTTTGGGGGGTGAGTTCTTTATCTGCTCTGCAGTCACTCATCACACACACACACACACTTGTCGCAGTTGTTGACCTGATTCTGGTGTTTCAGATTGAATCTTATTTGGCCTGTCAGAAACCATTGCTTCCAGTGCCCGACACCTTGGCTCCGGCAAAAAAGGCTCAACAAGCTCTGGCCATTTTCACTCAAGACCCCGATGCCAGCTTCCGTGACGACTTCCAGGGCGAGTGGTTATCATGCCTCTTCAATGATTCTAATCCAGCAGATTTATTAGTGGTTGCAAAGACTGGAGGTGGAAAGTCTTTGGCCTACCTCCTACCCCCACTCATCAATCCAAAGGAAAGACTAGTGATCATCCAGCCCCTCAAAGCCTTGGTAGATCAAACCGTCAACGACTTCAAGAAGCTCAAAACCGTCACAGTGCAGCACTTTGAGAAAGGAAACTTCATCGATCCTCTGGCCCAAGTAATCATTGTAACAACAAATCAGGCTGCCGACTCTCACTTCTGCAACCAGCTACGCTCTTGCTTGCCCACACGCATCATCATTGATGAGGCACACTCATTCCTTGAAGACGGATACCGTGGATACATGCCTGGAGTCACAGCGCTCACTCAGCTGTCCACTCAACTCATCCTCACAACAGCCTCGTTGCCTCATTCTCAAGAAGACGACCTCCTGCGGATCACCTTTGGACTGCGTCGCTTAATCACCAAACGGCAGCCCACTTTCAGACCAGAACTCAACATTGAGGTCTTGAGATCCCCTGCAAAATGGGAACAACTGTCTTCAGTCATCCAGCCCTTGATCGACTCTTTCCTGGTCGGCCCCAATGACCGTGCAATGATCTTTATTGAAAATAAGCATGCTGTTGAACTGGTAGGGCCCCAAATTGGGGCTGTCACTCACCACTCGGATCTGCCAGACGATGTCGCAGCCTCAGCCGTAGAAAAGTGGACATCCGGTGGGGCTAGATCTATTGTGGCCACCAGCGGATTCGGGACAGGGATCAATTATCTTCACGTCCGTCTGGTCTGCATCTACGGCATCCCCAACCGAGCAACAGCAAACAAGGCTTACCAACAACTTGGGCGTGCCGGACGGGATGGCCACCAGGCTCACATCTTTTTCATTCCAACTGTCTCAGACCCCCATGGCGATATCGATGACTTCAAAAAGAATCTGATGAATCCTGCAGTGTGCCCTGCTAACACCTTTGCTCGACATCAAGATAATCTCAACTGGTCTTGCAGGAACTTTCCCCCATTCCTTCGTTGTGTCTGTTGCTCAAGATTATCAGCCAACCCAGCTTTACATCCATCCCCTTTATCCTTGTCCCAGCCATCTTCAATTCCCGATTGGTCCCCTGATCCATCAGCACCAAGCAATTCATACAACTCCTCAAGTACTGTTTCAGCCCAGGCCACACTAGGCGCACATGTGGGATCAGGGCTCGCTCAGTCTCGCAAACGCAGGCGCTTGGAAGACACAGATCCACTTGCAGACAAACTTGCCACCTCCAACACTCTGGCGGCCGAAAGCTCCCTCTCAATCACTTCACTGGCGAGATCTGCTGAGCAAGCTCGTCTGCAATCAATGCCCGACAACAGAGTCAACTCAAACCAGATCAACCGCGACAACTCTCTCATCTCCCATGAGCTCGTCAGTCTCCAGAAGTTTATTCGGAAGATGAAGGGTGCTTGTGGTGACTGTTATGTTTGGAATAACACAATCACTGCAGCACATCCACGTCAATGCAAACCAATGCATGGAAAGTGCTTGAGATGTAGAGCTGGTGAGCCCTCTTTTCTCTCTTTTGGACTGTTTGACAACCAAGTGGGATCCTGGCCGCTGATATGACTTTCTTCTTTCTAGGTAAAGGGTGGGCACATCACACCCACAGTGGAACCGAGCATACAACCAAGAACTGCTCCTCAACCAGCTTTTCAGCTTCTATATCCGAAGGGTCCAAAGGTGCACATGGGTTCAATATTTGCACCAGGTGTGGCCTCCCTGCTGGAACCCAAGATCGGTTCAACTTTCATCCAAATGGGAACGTCGGCCCAAACTGTGATTCTGGATTTGCTAATATTGCAGAGGCTATTTGCTGGTATGTATACCGGGCGCAGAGACCTGAGCTTGGAAAGTGGTTCCCTACGGCTCCTTTAGACTCTGAGCCTGCATTCTCCAAATGGATTGGCATCACCTCTAAAGATGTCAGCCCAGCTCCTTGGCCAAATGCAATCAAGTTGCTATTGAAATATGAGGAAAATAAATAGTCCTCTTGTTTGGTTATCTGCTTTATTTATGTTTCTTCTTTTTTCTGTCCATGTTTCATTGTTCTTTCTTGGTCCGTAGTACTCGGTCCTTGCTTGTTCTGTAAGTGTTTCTGCCCGGCCTCTCCCGTGCTTCACTGTTGTTGCCACTCCTGGGCTCAAATTGTTGTTGTTCTTTATCTGGCTTGAATTGAATGTGTTGAGTGTGAATTGTTGTATTGCCTTGACCTTCATTGTTCTTAATCCATTTTCCTGTCCTTGTTTCTGCCCTGCATTGGCATCAACACTCCTTTGGCCATTGCCTCGTCTCAATTGGATTTACTCCAATCATCCCTCTTGATGCTTTTTTTTGGTAAAGTCAATGTCCTTGCAATTCTATTTTGGTTGAGTCTGAGTATCCCTCTTCACACATGCCATTTTATTGATCTCTAGTATGTTTGCTTATATACATGTGGTCACATTAGTGTAATGGAAATGTGAGGAAAAGAAAAAACAAGTAGGCTTGTTTTGTTGGCTTCATTTATGTTCCTTATTTCTCTCTCTAGCCCCCTCTGCTTGCCTGTTCTGCAACCTTTCTGCCTTGTTGCTCACTGGCTTCACTGTTGTTGACTGGGTTTTTTGTCTTGCTTGATAACTATATGTGCTGTGTATGAATTCTTGTATTATTACCTTGACCTTTATTATTTAGAATTCTTGTGCTTGTGTGTGCCCTGGGTTTGCAATCAACACTTTGTTTGCCTTTGCCAGTTCTGGTATCCCATTCATAAGAGGGTGCCACCATTAACATGATTTTTATTTTCGGGCTGCTGGTTCAATAATCAAGACCATTTTGCCCACCCCACCTCCCTTTCATGACTTCTCACCTCTATTAACATGCTGATATTCACTTCTGTCCTGGCTCAAATGTTGGGGTCTTATTTCACTTACCTAACTCACTTTCATTCCTTTTCACCATTGCAATATTGACCCTTCTGTGCTTTCAGGCACTCACATTTGACCTTTCACCTCCCATTCATGAGAGGTTGCCACTATTTAGATAATCTTTTTCTCGGCTGCTGGTTCAATAGTCAAGTCAACTTTTCCTAGCGGACCTCCTTTTCAGGACTTCTCACCTCTATTAACATGGTGATATTCCCTTATGTCTTGGGAAAAATGTTGGTGGCATATATAACTCACCCACCTTCCTTTCATTCCTTTGACCACTATCAACATAATGCTTGGGTTAGGGTTAGGTACAAAAGCTAAGCCAATTTGGTGGACCGGCATCTGCTTTGGAGGACCCATCAATACAATTAGCATGGGCCTTTTGACTTTGGTCTGGAAGAAATTGGTGGACCCATTTTTACCACCCCACCTCCCTTTGTCTAGTTTTCAACTCTATTAACATGGCAAAATTGGGTTCTGAAACCTGTGACTTGTATTTTATTTACCCACCCACTTTACAGATATTTTTATTACTATTGACATGGGCCTTCTGACTTGGGGCCTTGTGCAACTTTTGGTCTCATGTTTGAGCACCTCACCTCTCTTTGAAGGGAGGTCATCCCTATTGTCTGGGCCATTCCAGTCTTGACCTTGACTCTTGGTTGCCTCCCAACAGTATTGACTTGGGATCGGCCTCTCATTGAACTCTTGCATGCATGTTCCAAAGGGGGAGATTTCACTATAAAAGAGCCACATTATCTGGGGGTTTCTCACAACAATTCCAAAGTCTTCTCAAAGTGAAAATCAAATTGTTATATCATAATTCCATCCATACAGTATACTCGCGGAAAGCTCTCATCATGTCTGACTCCAACCAGCACATTACTCCAATCCCTGGCCAATACAAGGAACCTAATTCTATTACCACCTCTCCCAATGACCACGCACTCAAGGGGCACAAATCAACAACAATGGTCAGAGTGGAAATGTCGCCCCTTCCTCACAATCACTTGACAACTGTCATCCCAGCAGGGAATCAGATTAGACGTATGTGGCCCCACACCTTGCCTGTGTATCTCAGGAGATTTTACCTTTGCTCAAACTGTTCACATCAATTGTAGTCACCAAGGAGTTTCCATTCTTGGGATTCAACACTTATGCCAAGACCCTTATCTGTCTTGACTGCCACTGCGGGGTGCCAACAAAGGA